TGGCAATGACAGCTGTGGGCAGCAGGGAGCCCCAGCCTGACTCCACCAGGGGCACCCCCAGGCCCTCGCCCGGCCGCTTCGTGATGCACACCTCTCGGCAGTTCTCGCTGTTGGAGAAGTGGTCAAGGTCCCCGTTGTGGGGATGGCCGGGCCCCTGGGTGGCCTGGCTGAGCCGGGCAGCTGCCTGGCCAGGCTCAATGCCGCTCTCCCGCAGGAACTGGCTGTAGGCCACGGCAAAGGCCTGGCCAATGGCCTGCGCGATGAGCTGGGCATCCTCAGAGTGGAAGACATGGCCGAGCATCCTGCAGGGTGGGTGGTCGCGGTCCTGGGGTGCAGGTCTCTGGGCCTGCTGCCGCCAGGCCATCAGCACCAGCACGCTGCCGATGTCGGCGAAGTACGAGATGGTCTGCAGCGCGTGGTCCATCATGGCTTCCTGGGAGTCAGCAGTCAAAACCTTGATCCGCTTGGTGGAGATGAAGAGGTCCATCTCTGTCATGGGCTGCGTCTCCCCTGCGGGGGCCTGGGCGCTGGCAGGCGTCTCCTCAGGCCTGACCAGAGGCGATGTCTCCAGCCAGAGCTCCGGAGAGCTGCCTGAGCTCCGACTGCCATCCTGCCCGGCACAGGTTCCCTCTGCCCATTCCGGAAGACTTGTGTCCTCGTCTGTGTCCTTGGGGGACTGCAGCAGCCCAGGAGACTCCTGAGGACAAGGCTGGGAAGGTGAACACTCGTCACAACGCAAAAGGTTCAGCAAGTCGTCGCGTCCAGCCTCGGCGGACAGGAGCCCGTGGGCATCCGCAAGGTCCCCAGAGGCCAGTCCATGACCGGTGGCGATGTGCAGGGGGCAGGGAGGCCCCTCTGCAGACAGATCCCCCAGGTCACCCGGCAAAGCTTCAAACTGTTGCACCAGGTTCTGGATTCTCGGCTCATCAAAATCCATCTGGCTCAGACTGCTGGGGGCTCCCGTCTCCGGGTCCCACTGGGAGATGGGAGCCAGGTCCTGAGAGGGTGCCAGAGTGGCCCCTGGCTCTTCCAAGTCCATGGCTGGAGGCCTCGAAGAAACGGGGGTGACTGTCAAGAACTCCATGCCAGGGTCCTGGGCTCACTCAGGTCAGCATTTCCTTGCAGTTCTCGGGCCGAGGGTCACCCTCCCAAGTCCGGCCGTTCCCGGATTCCCAGCCCGAAACCATGCATTTTAACACCAAACAGTAACACGTTTAGCTCATTTCTGCTGCGGTTAATAGCTGATCAAACTCTTTAAACTCATTGCGATCAAGTCAGAACTTAGTCCTGTCCAACCCCCAGTGGGTTTTCAGAGGTTGAAAATTTCCTAGGATACTGCTCACCTTTTTACACAAGAGCAACGTTTAAGTTATTAGCACACCTTTCTATGGACTATGCCACCAGAATTTCCTATGAAGCTGATATTATTTCATGGGAAGACTTACTTTAAAACAAAGGGAGTTTTCTAACCTGGTAACAACTAGTTTGTGGCCAAGGCTTTTCTTTTCTCCCTCTCTAAATTCCTCAAGTGGAAGGATCAAACTGCTACTTTGAGAAGCAGCCCATCCCTGGACTTAGACCAATTCAGTTCTCATGTCTATCTTTTGGTTGAAAGTGTGTTCATTGGGAGTTTAGTATGGTTCCTATCAAGTGATTGTCTTCTCTCCTCACCCCCCCCCCCCAATTAAAGACTTTATTGAAGGCCCAGAGCCAAGGGGCTCAGGAGGCCACCTGCAAGAGGCAAGGGAGGAAATGAAGAAGGGGGCTCTTGTTTGACCTTCTTGGGGTGCAGATTGTTGGGTATGCCCAATCTTCTTGCAACAACTGACAGCACTGGGCTGCAGGCAAGCCAAACACTTGCAGCAGATCATCTTGTCAGTTAGTGGAAGGACATATTCTATCTGCCCACAAATATCAGATGCTGCTTGTGAGGCAAGATGCCCTCCTCGTCTTGGATTTCGGCTTTCACATTCTCCATGATGTCACTGGGCTTGACCTCAAGAGTGACGGCCTTGCCAGTCAGGGTTTTCATAAAGATCTGCATCTGAGTCTGCCACTCAGCCGGCTCATTGAAGACAAAGTGCTTGTCTTAGTGTGTGGGACAAGTGTATGTTTTGGACAACTTGTAAACACGTGTCCATGGGTCGAGGCACCTGCTGAGGGCTGGGATGCCAGATCCTCCTGTCAGAACCTCACTCTTGCCCAGCTGCTGGGCAATGCTCTTAGAAGGCACCTAGTCCAGGTCTAATCCCCAGCCCAGGGCTCCGAATTCCACAGTTTAGGGTTAGAGGTGGGATCTAGTCCCTGCATTTGCTTATGTGAAAATGCAACATGCAGATGGAAAAGGTACACTCACAGGTCCCTCCCTGGGAAGGTTCTCCAGGGCAAGGTGGTCTGACTGACCACTGGCTCAGCAGAGAACGCTGCCACAGCAGGTGGGCCTGGGTGTGGGTCCCTCCCCACAGCAGCTCCAGGACCAATGCACCTGGGACTGCCATGCCCAACCAATGTCCAAGCCACATAACGGTCTATTTTTACAGAACAAACAGTGGACAGTAAATGATATGTATACAGTACCTTTTTCTATGAAACAAAAAACCACCCCAAAATATTAAGCAGCACTTCTAGATAGACATCTTCAGTATAATACCACAGTGGTTTTGATACACATTCCAGCACAGCATCATGTCACACTGTGTTGCTGGTACTGTGGGCACTGAGGACTCCGTGGCTCCTGGCCACCAATGGCACCCACTCTGCCTTCTTCTAGCGGTCCCCAGGAGTACGACACCTGCCTTGTGATGCAATGATACGGAGCAAGGGACACAGCTGAGGTAAACGGAAGTCTTCTGCTGCTCCTAACCAGCATAGCTAGTCCACAGCACCCACACCCGTTCCTGGCCAGTAGTGAGGGTACTTTGCCATCTGCCACTGCCAGCCCCTCCCACCATCTCTGCAGCCCAAGTCTGGAACCCAGGATGGGTAGGATGAGAGGGATGCGGTGGGACACCCTGGCCCTTCTTTCAGTGATATATGTGGGACAGAGGATGTAACTGCTGGTTTCAGGCACATCAGACATTCACAACCCAAGTAATCTTCACACTAAAAGGAATGGGGAGAAAGGTAACAGAATTCAGAGAAGCGGAAATAGTTTGCTACACTTTAGATGTTTTTAACTATATACACTAAATATGCAGTATTAAGTTGTCCCTACATTGTATGATTAAAGATATTTTTAAGTAGGTTTGTAACCCCTACATTGTATGATTAAAGATATTTTTAAGTAGGTTTGTAACATAAGAACTCAACGATCTCGTTCCTTTCTAGACTTCTTTTAAATGGCCATCTAAACTACCACCTACTATATTTCCAATTCAGTTCATTTACTAGAGCTCTCTGGTGCTTTCTCAAATTCAGCACGCATCAAATCCCTAAAACTTTTCAGTAACCAGGACATCACATCAAAGGTGTCCTGTAGCTGAGCTGCAGAGCCGAACCCTGACCCCAGTGGTCACTTGGCCCCTGGAGACCCAGACACATTTGCTTGTCACCACTGGGGGAGGCCCTGGGTGCAAGATGAGGACCGTGCTCAGGAAGCCGGGAGTCACCCGGACAGAGGGAGAAGGCAGCACCCAGATACCCTCCCTCACCCCCTCTAGGGAGACCACCAGACACAGGGATCTCTATACCTATCTCAGCCTTTTTGTTGGGAAGTCAGTAAGTTTTGAAATAATAATTGTGGTGTCTTATTCCCATATTTAGATTATTCCTGATAGTAATGTTTTAACTATTAAAATAATGTAAACAGTTTTATTTGCAGTGATGTAACAAGTTTTAATTCAAAATAGATACTCTGAACAAACAATAGGTTAAAAAAAAATAAAATTCAACAAGCTCTCATTTTTAATTTATAACAGAGGATGCGGACACCCACAAAGTTTCACAGTGGTCTCAGAACTGCCAAGCAGTCATACACAGAGGCGTCTATGTTCACAATCCAGACAGCCGCAGGTTCCTTCGCCAGGGTCATACCAAAGCTCCTTTTGTCACCGCCTCTGGGGATTTCTGTAATTTGTGTTTTGTTAAAGAAAACAGTAACGCCGGAGAACCTCCCAGGTCACAGTCCCATCAGCCTAGACCAGCCAGTGTGGGAAAAGCCCCACCTCACGCTGACCATGAGGCAATTTCAAAAGAAAGAGACTGCTCAGCCTGCTCCCTTCAGAACATCCCCTGAAAACCTGTTTCACTTTCAACTCAGAACCACACTCAGGGCTGGAGAGTTTATTCCTGGGCAGCTGACTTCTTCCCTTGCACTAGTTAATGAGCAGTTACGTTAGAAGGCTTTTCAAAATGTTTAATCTAAAGGCGCTAAAAATTTGTTGTCTTAGCTTTGAATCGAAAAATTCTTTGTTATCAAAAAGAGGGAAAAGCCTAAACTGGAGAGTGTTTCTGCTCTACAGAATGGCTCCTCTGTAAAACAATCCTTGTGTATGAGCTACAGCCCGGATCCCCCGTTTCAGGATGCCATAACTAATCAAACACCTGGTTTACTCAGCTGTAAAGGAGAAAAGTGATCATCGAACAGCGATGTCACAAAGCAAGCGTGGACCTGGCTCCTGCACTCTGGAGAGGTTGGCAGCAACCTGAGCCACAACCACCTGTCTCAGGCAAGTTCAATGCCTTGATTCAAAATTCGCAGATGGACAAAATCTCCTTAAACGAAAATAGTACTTTTTTATGACCATCTTTATCAGGTCTTACTGATACTCCTGGGAAAACAGGCGTGCATAAAACATTGAAGATTTAATTTACACAACAAGGGGAAGGGGGAAGGCTACAAAATCAAATCACAGGGACAATAAATGTAGAAAAACTCATTGACTTCCTTAAGTCATCTCTCCGAGCACCTGAAACATCTGAAGAGCAGCATGAAGACCAAACTCACAGTCCAGCCCACTCGTGCAGAAAAACTGCTAAACCTCTAGGTCAGACTTGTTTTTCTACAAGTTGTGTGGTCCACACTCAAAGTTCAATTTGTGTTTAACATTTTTCAGTTCAGACATGTCAAAACCTAAAAGTACAGAAGATTTGTGACTTTTTATTGCTTTCATGCAAATGTATCTTCTTTTGCCAAAAAAAGAAGCCACGTCAATCTTCCACACCCACAAGAGCGAGGACAGGAGTTCAATCTCCTTCTTGCTGGGATAGGGCCTCTGATGGAAGTAATCTCGCAGGAACTGCTTCTTCTCCTCATAGGACCGATCCTCATATTCCCTGGGATTCAGGGCAAGGATCTGTAGTGCCTCCTCACTGATTAGCAGCCCATCTGTCCTGCCCTCATTCCTCTGTCTCTTGAAAGGCAGGATGTTGGACGCCTTGTCTACTGCAGAAACCAGACTGGCATCCACAACCAGAGGCTGCTGCTCTGGTGTCCTCGGCTCGTCGAAACCAGCATGGCCATCAGGCAGCTTCCTCTTCATGGTGAAGCTAGGCTCGTGGAGCACATCCCCATTGACCAGGAGCAAGCCGCTGTTGTCGATGAAGCCAGGCTGCAGATGCAGGTCCGAGCCTCCTCTGTCTTTGGGTGCACTGCGGCAGCGCAGCAGGTGGACAGCAATGGCAGCCAGGGTCATGTTCCCGGTATAGACACCACAGCAGTGGATGCATTTAAAGGCAGGTGACTTGAGGACAGTGTGCACGGTTGGCATGATGTGGTGCCGCTCCTTCAGGTGCCCCTCATAGGCCTCGGGGGTGACAGAGGCCACAAAGCAGAAGGGACAGGTGAGTACCGGCTGACTAGGGCTGTTGGCGGTGCTCTCACTCAGCGGCCGCACCTTGATGTAGACAGGTACCAGTGCCTTGGAGTGGATTCCAGCCAGCACGGCCAGGTACACCTCCCGTTCACCCAGCTCATCTTTGGGCAGGAGAGTAACAAAGTCGATGTGAGGAAACATCAGGCTGCCGCTGGTGTCCACAGCCAGCTGGAAGCCCCGGCTGCCGTAGTCCATGGGCAGCCGCTTCTTGCCCAGGTGTTTAGTGCGGCCATGCTCCGAGAGGGCCCTGAGGTTGTGGAAGGTGCAGGGGCAGAACAAGCAGCCCAGGCCATGGGTCAGCAGGTGGCGAATGAGCTCCTCCTCAGGGACCAGGCGCTTACAGGACAGGCAGCGCACAGTCTTCTCCTTCATCCACTTAAGAAACGGTGCGCAGGCTGCCAGCTTCTCGGGCTCTAGCCTCTCACTGGGTGTGGCCTCACCATGCCTGTGGGCCACCTCCATGTGCACCTGGTACACGTTGGAGGGAAAGAGCTCGTTGCACACAGGGCAGGTCTTCCACTGCTTGGCCTGCCTGAGTGCCTGGCTGGACTCCGACACAGATGACGAGGCCTGAACAAACACGCTCTGAGGGGTGGTCACCACTATGGGCGGTGGGGGCAGGCCAGCTGTTCCAGGTTGCAAAAGCTGGAGGGGCATCTGGGGCGGCGTGGTGGCTGGGACACCTCCCGGAGGCACGGGTAGGGTGACAGAGACAGGAGCCAGTGTGTAGGTGGGGATGCCATTCACCTGCTTCCCTGTGGGGATGAGCTGTCGAAGGATGGAGCCTGAAGTCAGAAATGTGGTGCTAGGTGCAGCACTGGGCCGGACAGTCTGACTGACAGGCAGGAGACTGGTGCTGACAGACTGGCCAAGCTGCAGGACACCGGGCCGCACCTGCTGACCTACTGGGAGGACACCCGACACAACAGGTTGGCCAAGCTGCAGGACACCAGAGTTCACACTCTGACCCACAGGCAGAACTCCTGATGGGACAGCCTGGGAGGGAGGAAGCAGCCCCGATGGGATTACTTGGCCTGCAGGAAGGACCCCAGATGTGGCCTTGTGGCCGGCAGGGAGGACCCGCAGTGGGACTGTCTGGCCAGAGGGGAGCGCCCGGGCTGGAACAGTCAGCCTGGCATGGAGCATGCCTGGAGGTGCTGTCTGGCCCATGGGAAGCACCCCTGATTGGACCATCTGGCCGGCAGGCAGGACCCCAGGTGACGCCGTGTGTGCAGGAAGAAGGGCAGTAGGCCCGGTGTGGCCCACAGGGAGCATGCCTGGGGAGACAGCCTGCAGGACCCCAGGCGCACTGTGCCCCACAGCAGGAGCCCCAGGCCCAGGAGGTCTGCTCCCTGGAAGGACTCCAGACCTGGCAGGCCTGTTGAGAGGTCCTGCAGGCTGGCTGAGGGGCAGTATCCCTGGGCCGATAGTGGGGTTCATGGGAAGAATGCCTGTGTCAGCAGGGCTGGCTGCTGGTCCCACAGGCTGGCTGAGGGGCAGGACAGCAGGGTTGAGTGGCTGACTGAGCGGAACACCCTGGGACATAAAGACAGGCTGGGGGACAGGGGACTGCAAGGCCAGGCCATTGTGGCCCACCGGCAGTGGGCTGGAAACGAGCGTCACCTGAGACTGGGCTGCTGAAGGAGGGGCCGTGGGAGTGAGCCCCCCAGAAGTGCCTGTGGCCACAGACATAGGCTGAACAAGAGTTTGGCTGTGACTGCTGTGGGGCAAGGAGAGGTGGAAGCATGGTGGTGTCGCTGGAAGGCCTGGGGTGCTAGGGTTCGGGGACAGGGTAAGATGTGCAGCTGGTTTGGGAGCAATGTTCATCTGCTTCAGAAGTCCTGTTTTCTTCATGTGTTCTGAAATGACAGATCTCAGCTTGTTCTCCAGGTCCCTGTGCATCTCTGAGGTCAAGATGTGGTACATGAGTGCATCCTGGCTGCTAGCGTAGGCACTGCACTTCTTACAGAAGTACCTGTCAGGTGCCGGCATCTTCTCAGGAGGAGGGTCCCCGCCCTTGGACTGTGGGGCCCCATCCTCAGACCACAGGCCGAAGTAGGCATTGATGAGGTGGTGGAAATGGGCCACAAGTACGTGCTTCTTCATGCTGTAGTACAAGGTATCTGAGAAGTTACACTTCAAACACGTAAAACTTAGGACCTCACTCCTAGAGGGCTTTCCATCCCCTCCAATGGGGGCTCTGCGGGCAGGAGGGTGGAAGACCCTCATGTGCTTGCCCACCACCTTGGGCTGAGACACAAACACACAGCTTGGGCATGGGACCACTAGTTCCTGATCAATTTCATCTTCATGGTAACGATGCAAATGATTTCTGAAAGATGTCAGCACCTTTGTGGAATATTTGCAGAGACCACAGCAATAAGGTTTTGTCCGATATCTCTGTTGGAAGAAACATTACGGAACTTACTAACTTCCAGAGGCCACACCCTCTCTGTTCCACAAGCAGGATCCCTGTCACTTTCATTTAACCCTTCCATTTAGGAGGGATCAATGTTTTCTAAGCCAGGATTGGGGAGTTTTTACTGTTAAGGACCAATCAGAGGGGGACAGGGAGGTGAGCTGTGTAGAAAGTTATTTTATGCTTGTTGTAAATATGCAGCAGCAGCACAAAGCATTTTCTGAACACTAAATGTAAGGGAGCTCTGTTGGCTGAGTGGTGAAATTGTGCTGCTGACCCAAAGGCAAGAGATTCAAATCCACCAGCTGCTCCACAGAGATGGGCAATCTCCTGCAACTAACTACCTCTGAACACCCTCTAGAAGATCAACTATGGGTCAGTTCTAACTTGATGGAACATAATTTGACATCCCAGCCATATGTCACAAAACAGTATCTTTTAAAGTTTTTTCATGTATTAAGAATGTAAAAGCTACTTACTCTCAGATTGGGAGCTACAGTTTGCTGGCCCTACTCTAAGCTGACAGTTAAAATGCCAAGTCTCATTTCTCAATTATAAAAAAACTTAAAATTTCTGCAATTCCAGAGGCGCACGGTTCAAAATCCGCCAGATGCTCTGCTGGAGAAGGAGGGGCAATCTCCTCCTGTACCAGTCAGATCCGATTTGACGGTACACACGAAAAATAATAATAATTTTAAAAAATAATAAACAAATTAAAAAAACCTTAAAATTCTCTGCAAGAGATATTTTCTTAGTGCCAATATTTTTTTAATTCCAAATTCTAACTCTTGGGATTCACCTACAATTAACCGAGTTTTCGTATGGCTGGGCCCAATGTTACTTCTGCTTTCCCCCCACTCCCCACCCAGAGCAAGGCAAGGGCACACAGCAGGGAAAACAGGCTCTGCCCAACTAACTAAGACCCAGGGAAAGCACAGACTACAAAACAGAAAATGAGCCTCTTCAGTCAGACCTGAAGAACTCCTTGTGCAGTGAGCTGGCCCTGGAGAGGAATCTGTTCGTACATCCAAAAAAGTTTCATGGGGAAAAAAAGATTCCATGTTCTGAGGGGCCCAGAAGTCAACTAGGACATTTAGGAGAGGACTCAAGTCCTGGGTCTCATTAGTCTTAACATCATAGAGCTGGAGAACTAAAAAATCCTAGACCCTACCCTAGTTTACAGAACTAAGACCCAGATAGACCAGCCACTGCTCGGCGGTCCTTGCTTCTCAGTGACAGTTGCTGCTCCTCACCACAGACACAGAGACACAGAGACAGAGACAGAGACAGAGACAGAGACACAGACACACACACACACACACACACTCTCTCTCTCTCTCTCTTTCTGACCAAGACTCCACCTTCCTACGTCTGTGCTCTACACACACCAAACCTGTACCCCACCCAAGCCTGTACCTGAGCTCTCGTTAAAGAGCTCTTAACTTTTAGGGGAGGGCAGCACAACTCAGGGTGTTTGATTTGGAAAAAAAGAAAGTCTGGGGAAAGGCTGAGTGGGTCTACGATCTAAGAAGTCTGAAGCTGACAGAAGTGCTGGCTGGTGAGCAAACTCTCCTTCCTGCTTTGAGAATGCAGCAGTCCATGACATGTACTGTGGTTGTGCTGGTTATGTATCATCGAGTCAGAACTGACCCATAGCTAAGCCTCCCCTGGGTTTTCAGAGACAGTAAATTCCCTGGGAAAAGAATGCCCATTTTTTCTCCTGTGGAGTAGCTGTTAGATTTCAATCTTCTGCCTTTGGGTTGGCAGCACAAATCCTTGCCACTAAGCCACTAAAATTGTAATTTACTTGGACTAAGATCCCAAATCATTTTATTTGTTCTGCTCAAAGATGTGGACCTTTATAGTTTCCTTTCAAAACCAAAGATGTGCCATCAAGCAATGTGCATAATTTGTAATTCCATTTTACTCAAAATAGTCATATATCAAAGGTCTTTTGCTTTTGTTATGTGCTGTTTAAGTCAAAAGTGACTCATAGCTGACCTTCCATGCATATTCAGAGGCTGTAAATCACGTGCAAGGAGACTGCGCAGCTTCATTCCACTGAGGAGCTGGTACATTCAAACCATATGCCTTTGGGCTGGCAACACAACTCCTTACTACTTGGTCACCAGAGCTCTTCTTCTTTTATTACTGGCATGTGATGTTCCTAAGAACTTAATATACATGTAACTCTACTTTTGAAAAACATCAAATACAAAAAACAAATACCATTTTCTTTGCAGAAGGTTCCCAGAGAGCAACATCTCCCCATGATGTGTTATGGAAGTACTTTTCTCCTGGATCAAAGGGTTTAAGGTCCTTTAAAAGACAAAGAAAGAGAGCCATCATTGTGCAAGTCTAGGTCACACAGAGCTTCAAACATCTACCTAAGAAACAAGGAAAGAAAATTCAAACCCATCAGAAAATTATTAGAGTACTCATTATTGACAGGATTGGTAGCTGTGAGTGCAATTCTAGCCATCCATGCAGGAGACTAGGGTTCATTCAATTTCTGGCCAATGCACCTCACCCAGAGCCACCGCACATCCATCAGTAGAGGCTGTTGTGCTGCTATGATGTGGAACAGATATCAGAAGTTCCAATCCAAGACAGACTACAAAAAAAGGCTTGGCGATCTACTTCCTAAAAATGAGCCACTGGACATCTTAAGGACCACAATGGTCTGTCTGATACACGTGTGGCTGGGGAAGGCATGGAGAAGCAGCACTGTGTTCCACTGTGCAAAGGTCGTCATCGTAAAGAAAGGGACAACTGGAAGCAAAGGAACAATAAATAGTCCGTAAACTACAGGAATTCAGGAAAAGGTCTGACTAATCCACGGTGAACCCTAAGAAATAAACAGAGCCTTGTGACATAATTTTTAGTTCAGCAAAAAGAATTTTCTGCACTGTGCATGGCAGCAGAGCCCAGCCTGGCCATTTTCAAGTCTAGGAAGCATCCTACCTAGATTTTCTCCTCAGAAGTGCTTTTGGCAGCCCAAACATTCTCCACTTAGATTATGTAGTTTCATAAAGACACAGTACTTCAAAGTAATACGTTTATCCCAAACACCATACTGTGTTCTTAAAAGTCCATTTCTCTTTAAGAATAAAAAGTTATACTTTCATATTACTCTTTAAAAGTCGTTCCTGACTAGACACAGAAAAATAACATGTAGACAGGTTGATTACCAGATGTAATGATAAGTCATTCAGAACAGACAAAACACTCCTATCACTCAATAACTAATAAAAAACAGTCCAAATTAGAAATCCACAAAGAACTTATTAGACCATCTCAGAAAAAGGTATATAAATGATGTATCAGACAAGATGATTAACAACAGTGGTCACTGCTTTTGGTTGTTAAGGGTCACTGAGTCAACACCAAATCTATGAACAACAGACCAAAGCCTTGCCCTGTCCTGCTCCATTGCCGGACATCTACCTGCTTAACCGTGTTCTTGCAGCCACTGTGCCAATCCCTCTCACCAAGGGTCTTTCCTTCTCTAACCCTCCTCTTTTCCAAACATGTTTTTTTTCCAAGAACTGGTACCTCCTGACAACATGCTCAGAGTGTGTGAGACAAAGTTTTACCACCTTACCACTTAGGAGCACCCTGGTTACATTTCTTTTCCATCTGGTGCTTTCTGTTTCTTGGTCTGGCCGTGCCTTACGTGAGACATAAATGGGGGGCAGGCCTGGTAGAGGAGGGAGGTGCTGACATACAGGAGGGTGGGGGGAGGCACACAGGTACACACACGGGCAGAAAAAAATCATGATTCTGTAAATAAATACTGGACACACGGTCATGGACGCCAGGAGCCTTCTGGCCTGGGGTCCCCAGGCACTGCCCACTAATGGATTTGTGGACAGTCAACCAGCCTTGGGGCCAGTGGTCCTGACCGGGTGTGATCCACAGGGTGGGGGAGAGAGCATCATCAGTGGTGGCCCTAAATGACCTTCTTGAGCTGATGGTAGATGACCAGCACAAAAGGCAGCGCCCATGCCCTGCAGCACACTGGACCAGACACCCTTGAGGAAGCCCTTGCTGCCCTCATCCTTCGAGATCCTGCAGCAGCAGTCAACCATCACCATGTACATGATGCCTGCTCCTTTCCAGCCAGACTGCATCCTCCTCCTCCTCCTCCACACGGTGTCAAAGGCATAGGACAACGACTCCAGTCACCAGTGACTGTCTGTGCAATCATCCAGCTAACCACGATGTACGTGTTCGTGGGGTCTGCGAGCATACCTCTGGTCATGCCGTAAACACCACAGGCAGTGTGGAAGATGGTAACGCCCTGCATGGATACTCTGAAGCCTTGCTAGAGCCTGTGGATGCTGTATGACTTGCTGATCTTCACTGGGAAGTCCCTCAGGCCCTTAAACTCACACTCCGTGCCCGACTTGCACATGTTGGTGGCCAGCTCGGTCCAGGCAAAGTTCAGCGGGATGATGGAGCAGAGTGAGGTAGTCTCGGCCATGCTGCCTGAGACCAGGTGCTGGAGTAGTCACATCAGAACTGGGTGTGCTTGTCCACTCCACCCAGGAACACCTGCTTGTACTTGTCCTTGAAGACAAGTTGAGGGCCTGGGTCAGGAAGGTACTGGATGATGTTGGTCAGGTTGCCACTCCAGAAGAACAGCATACCCAGCTCCTTGGGGATGAACATGATGCAGTCCGCAATGCCCTTGTACTGCTTGTCAACCACAATCAGCTTGCTGTCATGCTGGACCTGTAACAGCAGCTTGACACGCTCGACTGGGGCCATGGCTACCTTAGAAATGGTGGCAGGACTGTCACCAGCCACAAAGTCCTTGGAAAAAAAGATGGTCTATTCCATCCTGGTAGTGGAGAGCACTATAGAGCTGGCCAAATGCTGGAGTGGATGTGGAAGCCAGTAGACGCCACTCTGCCTTTCTTTTAAGACAGATTTGTTTGTTCTCTTGGCAGTCCATAGTGTCCTCAATAATCTTTGCCAACATCACAATTCACCAATTCTTTCAGTCTTCCTTATTCATTATCCAATTTTCACACAGATATGAAGCAACTGAAAACAATACATATTGTTGATGATCCTTCTGCTAACTTTGATGATAAATGTCTTTATAGTCCAACTCTTCAAATAATTTTCTCAGTAAACAGACTGAGTAGGTATGAAGAAACAATGCAAATGCAACCCTGACTCACTGTTTTCTAACGCAAAATATGCAGTGTCTTCTTCATCTGTCTCAATGACTGCTTCTTTGGTCTACGTACGACTCAGAGCACAATCGCACGTTCTGGAATTCATTCTCCTCAATGTTACTGATCTAACTTATCAGTAATACATATGCAAACATCTTTCTAATATTCTCTGCTTTAAGCCAAGATCCATCTGACATCAGCATTGATATCCCTTTTACCACGGCCTCTTCTGAATCCGGCTTGAATTTCTGGAAGGTCCCTGTTGACATACTGCTTCAGCCATTTTTTTAAATAGTCTTCAGCAAAACTTTACTTGCATGTGGTATTTAAGATATGGATTGGTAATTCCCACACCCTGTTGGATCATCTTTTTGGAATGGGAACAAATATGGGTCAGTTGGTGTCTTACAAATTTCTTGGCATAGACTGCCAAGCACATCCAGGGCTTCATCTGTATGCTGCACCTCAACTGGTTATTCGGTGATTGGCGCCTTATTTTATGCCACTGCCTTCAGTTAAGCTTGGACCTCTTTCTTCATTCCCACTGGTGCTACATGCCTCTTCCTGACTTGATTCCTTGCCTATGGATTCTTTTGCTACCATGATTCTGTGTATACCTCCTACCTTCTTTGATGCTGTCTCTATCCCTCAATATCTGGCCCACAGAACCTTTCAGTGTTGCAACTCAAGGCTTAAATTTGTTAGTCGGTTCCTTCAGATGGAAACATACAAACTGTGTTCTTCCATCTTAGTTTTCCAACTTCAGGTCTTAGCACATTTCATCTAAAACTCTGCCTTAATATTCTCAAGCTGCCCATTGAAATCTTCTTTTCAGCTTTCTTATTCCATTATTTCCAGTTTTTTTTAACATCCTATGATATTTTTCCCCTTTAAAAAAAATGCCTCTGCACCAAATAAATCAAGGTCAAAATTAAATGAAGAGCTCAAGATGGTATCAAGTCCCATTTGTGTAAATCCTGCTATGGTGATGAAAAGCAGCAGCCAGATAAGATGACAGATCCCAATAAGTACCAAATTTGTTAACATTTCTCCATCTTTTTTTTTACCCTCACTAAACTTTGTTTTAATGGTCTCAAAATTCCATGAAAAATTTTTTTGTCAAGTTGTTTCCATTTAAAAAATACTAATTTTAAAAACTAGTAACTTAAAACTGCCATAAGAAAAAGAAAACAATAAGTCCACAAAACATTCCTTTACATCTGAAGGCTTTCTGATTCATTGTTATCATTAACCAGTCTTCTACTATTGAACTTAAACGGCCAGTTGAGACAAACAGTTCTGAGACTGGGGTGGCAGGAATTACGGGTAATATTCATTTAGCCTTCTGAGCAGACTTGGTGACCTTGTCAGATCCAGCATCCTTGTCCACTACTTTGATGACACCCACAGCAACAGTCTGCCTCTTGTCTCTGACAGCAAAACAACCCAGAGGAGGGTTGTCAGAGAAGTTCTCCACACACATGGCCTTGCCAGGAACCATATCAGCAATGGCAGCATCACCAGGAATTTGGGGTCATCTTCCAGCTTCTAACCAGAACAGTAATCGATCTTCTCTTTGAGCTCAGCAAACTTGCAAGCAATGTGAGCTGTGTGACAATCCAGCACAGGTGCATAACCAGCACTGATTTGGCAGGGATGGTTTAAGATGATCACTTAAGCAGTGAAACCAGCTACTTCCATGGGTGGGTCATTTTTGCTGTCACCAGCCACGTTGCCACGTCAAACATCTTTCACAGAGACGTTCTTAACATCGAAGCCAACATTGTCACCAGGCAGTGCTTCACTCAAAGCTTCATGGTGCATTTCAACAGACTTTACTACAGTGGTTAACACTGACTGGGGCAAATGTGACCACCATGCCAGGCTTGAGAACACCAGTCTTCACTCTGCCCACAGGGACAGTACCAATACCACTGATCTTGTAGACATCCTGGAGAAGCAGACGCAGAGGCTTATCAGTTGGACGAGTTGGTGGCAGGATGCAATCCAAAGCTTCAAGCAGACTAGTCTCACTGGCACTGCCGTCCTCCCAGGTGACATTCCATACCTTGAACCAAGGCATGTTAGCACTTGGCTCCAGCATGTTGTCACCATTCCAATCAGAAACTG